TGCTATTGTGATGAATATAAATTACTCTTATATTTAAGCCATAATGGTTTGTGGGTGTCAAACTAATTTTCACTGAGGGCCACTTCAACATTATGGCTGCCATCAAAGGGCCGGTTGTAACTGTAAGACTGTACAAATATTACTAACATATTGTTAAATAACTTTCTCTTTATTTTATTATTACTTATTTAAGTTACAAATATTGCATGCATTTGCATAGATGTAATATATGTAGTTTCTCTGTTATTTTAACATAAATCCTTTTAATTTATCAGGTTAAGAAATCCAAATTATTCTATAAATCAAAGTAAATAATAAAGACAAGTATCATCAAACACAAGTCATTACATTAACTTTGTTAAAAACTTTTTTTGTTACATTTATGGCACAACAAATAATTGTGAGCTGGCATGAGTCCAGGTCTCATGAAAATGCGTATCAATAGCATGATTTTCTGTTTCTATTTGGCATGCGATTTATATGCTAATTTACTTTAGCGTGCATATGATACGCACGTGTTTGGTGTGCATATGATACGCAATCAATGCTTGTAGTAGAAAAAAAAGAAGTGGTGGTACTCAACCCCCACTGCCCCACCCAAAAATAAATAAATACAAACTAAATTACTAAAAAGGTACTTTTTAATTTCATAATTCCAATGAATGTATATAGTGCCACAATAAATAAATAAATTCATTAATAATTGTTTGCAATTCAATTCACTTTTATTTGCACTTTTCATGATACACTATTGCGAAGCAGCTTCACAGAAAATGAACATTTCTACATTACATTTAGTAGTTTACAGCATTGCACAAATCAATCTGCGATACCAAACAAGAACACAGGGGGGCGCCAAAAGACCACTAAACCAGCTACCTTGACCGGACTGATCCAGATTTACTAAACCACCACTGCCTAAACTAAAACACCTTCAGCCAGCATCCAGTATAAAACACTCATGCTTTTAAGCTAAATAGCTTGTTGATTTTTTTTTTTTTACTGACATCTGTACATGAGTACTATTATCTCCGCCATCTCTGATTAAATCGGCGGTGTTTTCTCTGCATTAGTGCTGTTTTGAACTTACTGTTTGAATGCATTTGCTTACTGGATTCTTAGACTTTCCAGGACTTTACCGGTTGATCTGATCGCAAAAAAAACTGCTTCTTTTCATTTTTATAATGTATTATTTTCGTTAAAATTTACTGATTTATATGAGTAATTGTTATTTTATTACTCTACGCTAGGGTGACCAGCTGGCTACTGCAGGACAGTAGATGTGATTTTACAGGACAATGCGGGACATGTGCGAAACAGATACATTTATTACTGTTGTTATGCTATGTAAATAGGCTACTGATTTACCGTCAGTACCGTCTCAAATGAACTATTAAAACGAGAAGAAAGTCGTGTCTGAAAGCTGCAATCGATTTTTTTAATTCGTTAAATGAAAGGAGAATATTGTGTTTTTATGGTCGTGCTCGAGCACTTGATTAGGTCCGCTTTATTCCTTTGAGCCTTCCATGCAGTCATCATCAACGGAAAAACCCCACACCCCTAATCCTAACCATTGCGTATCATATGCACACCAAAGTCAATTTCTGCGTATAAATAGAACGCCAAATAGAAACAGAAACTTGTGGTATTGGTATGCACTTTCATAATTTACGATATAAAGCTGCATAGATTTATATTTTAAGACAATCATATGCTCTCGCGGGCCACATAAAATGATGTGGCGGGCCGGAATAGGCCCGCGGGCCTTGAGTTTGACACATGTGGTTTAAAGGTTTAGTTCACCCAAAAATGAAAATTAGGCTGTGTTTTACTCACCCCAGAGCCATCCTAGGTGTATATGACTTTCTTCTTTCAGATGAATCCAGTCGGAGTTATATAAAAAATTGTCCTGGCTATTCCAAGCTCTATCATTGCAGTCAGCGGGTGTTGCAGTGCTTCAGTCCAAAAGAAGTTAAATAAAAAGCGCCCATCCATAAAAAAGTGTCTCACACGGCTCCGGGGGGTGAACAAAGGCCTCCTGTAGCGAATCGATGCGTTTTTGTAAGACAAATATCCATATTCAAAACGTAATAATCACTTTAATCTAGCTTGGGCCAACAGTTGTACACGGAAGCAGCTCCAGGCTGATGACGTACGAGTTCAGCGTTGCGCATGTGCCGGTGAGTCTCGTGAAAACCAACGTTTGTTTACAGGATCAAAGGAAGCAAAGTTTCCTTACTTTAGCAAAGGAAAACCAGTCTCCTCTTGGCTTATATCAAAATCCTCTGACATTCTTCTTTACAAATCCTCGTTTTGTACTTCTAATTAGTGACTGGTGTTTTGTTTTGATCTCTCCGCTGTGTTTCCGCGTGCATCACTTCTGAGCGGCGCACGCGCAAAGCCAACCTCATACGTCATCCGCCCGGAACTGCTTCCGTTTACAACAGTGAGCACAAGCTAGATTCAAGTGATTATTACATTTTGAATATAGATAGAAAATAAGAAGAAAGTCATATACACCTAGGATGCCTCGGGGGTGAGTAAAACGCAGCCTAATAATCATTTTTGGGTGAACTAACCCTTTAAGAGAGCGTCACTGTACATTGAGCATACGTATCAGCCTTCATATCCATAAAAAAAAAAATCACAGATGAGATCTCAGATTAACATTTCAGTTGTTTCTTCTAGATGCCAGTAACATTATAACAGCAAATGCACATTTTTGTGAAATCTAATTTTCTCTTGGAAGACTTTCTTCAGACTTTCAAGGGATCTCTAAAATGTCTCACACTGGGCTCAGATTTGAGACACACTCAAAAGTCAGAAATCTCTACATTGTCATGTATTATCAGTGCTTTATAAGGTTCCAACTCTTCTCTGACTCTTATTTTAATATCGTGCTGGACTTTTAGTTTTTATTTTGTTCCTGTGTGTCTGTTTTTACATTTCCTGTGATTACTTTCCTGTTTATTAAGGTTTCATGTCAATACATGTTTATCACCTGATTAGTTCCTTATTTTCCCATATGTATATACAGCCATCTTTCTTCAGGTCTTGCAGATCTTGTCTTATTGTGAGTCTATGCTTTATAATAAGCAAATTAAGCTGTAACACAGTAGTCTTTCGTTCTTTGATTATGCTCTTCCTGGATTTCTGTACCTGCTTATTCCTGAGTATTGGGTTTCTCTTATTTCTCCAAGACAAAATATCTGAAACATCTGAGACAACATTGATATGTAGATACAATTGAAAGAGCAACCTCTGAGCATAACATTTTCCACCGTGTACACACAAGGAAAGTCCCTAAAATATTTTGTGGTTATGGGGGACAAAAATATTATATACTTAGCTCTCTGTTACAAAACTTCCACCTGTAACACATGGCCAAACTCCCGCACACACACATACACTACTCTCATATCCACTCTGCTGGCCACCATCTGTGTGAGTTTGGCAGTGACAGCCGGTGCATCTGTGTGCACATCCCCTTTCACTTCTGTCCTCTGAGTAAGTGTGTGTGTGTGTTTGTGGAGGCCAGTGGGTCACAGCTGTACACAAGCTAATTTCTCAGTACCAGCATTACTGTGGCGGGCCGCAGGGCTGCTACTCTCAAGCCTTTAGAAGAACATATGTTAATTTTCTCAAATCTCTCATTTTCTCTTTCTTCATTATCTCTTCTAAAAAAGTTTTTTAGTGATGTCTAAGGCAAACTGTATTACTAATGCTCATACTTAGGATTAGGGATATGAAACCAGTGTAATAACCTTCACTGTTTCACAGGCAGGAATGACACCTTAAATCCTGAGAGGTGTGCTGTTCCTTTTCTAAGATTTTCAGATCATTTTCTAGAAATCAGTTTATACTAGAGACATGGGATGGGCTTGTCTGACCTAGACCAGTAAGCAACATTGGAACTACTCTGAGTCAACCAAACTAAACCTCTAGCAAACACATATCAACCTGCTAAAAACCACTCACAACACCTTAGAAACCGCATGTCAATGCGAAGGCAACTATCGACAATGCCCTAACCTCACATTTTCTTCACAAAATGTAAAAGAAAAATTGTTTTTACTTATAACTCTGCAGATGCCAACTGCATAACAAAGCACTCTAAAAATGCTGGGTTAAATACAACCCAGCGCTGGGTAAAATAACATAAATATGTGTAATATCATAAATGTGTAAAGCATCTGTGGACTTAATCAGAAGAACAACTCTGAATATTAAACACACCATGATGAAATGAGCAAAAACCCTTGCCCATGTTGCAATATGCCTTCAGACTTAAGAAACATGCCTTCAGATGGGATTGCTACAGAGATTCTCGGCCTTGAACCTGTTTGAACTTATGTGCAGACCAGGAGGTGTTAGAAAGGAAGTATGGGCACCAGGAGGAGCCCTACTGTCCGGTAGGAACAGGAAGAATGATCTGCCCACAGACACAGCTGGTTCCTGCCAGAGGAAGCCTGGATGTGAGCTATCACAGCCGCTCAGCACTGTTTACTTTCGCCTGGGGAACCACCTGCTCACATGGGGACAGGACACACAGACATTTGTCTAGCTGAGGACATATAGACCTAATTTTTTTTCATTTATACATTGTCAAAGACTAACCTTAACTCTAAAAGGAAACTTTTAGAATGAACAACATTATGAAATATTACTACAACTGTGGGCATTCGTGGTTGTTCCCAAAAGGAGACTTCATTAGGTTTAACTCAGTTCTGGTAAAATATGTAAGTAACGTAAGGCGTATTGCTCAATTGAAGTACAGTCTCAGCCCACAGTCAGGCTGACCTCTATGCCACCCATACCACCCTTTCCTTTTGAGCTGTTACAAAGAGAGTGAAAGAGATAAAGAGTGTGTGTGTGTGCGTGTGAGAGAAAGAGAGAGTGAAAGAGAGAGAGAGAGAGAGAGAGAGAGAGCGCGAGAGGGGGGGGCTAGCGGGAGGAACATGCGCTCACTACACGTTCCCTGCTGTGACAGAGAATATCATTGTTTGCCCAGAAGCCCATAAATTTTGGACAACGACACCGGCATTGCTACCTAAGCTAAAGAGAGGAAAGGAAAAGGTTTGTGGTCAGCAAACTTTTTTTTCAGTTCTATGGGGGGCGTGAGTCTTGTGTCTGGTCTTCTCATTGAGTTGTGCGACTGTCCATGCTTGAAGACATTTGCATAGGTTACTGAACTGGACAACACGACAGACTGTTCAGGGTGGAACTAGCTAGCTGATTGTGAGTATCCTGCGGGCCTCTGAAACACCTGAGGAGTTTATTTGTGGAACTTTGTAAGCTGATGCATTGGGATGAGATGGCTGGAGAGATCCATGCAAAGCGCCTTAACAGGTCTGGGACCAGGAGAGCGTCTTCCAGCACTCTCGCTGCACCCAGACTACCAACAGTCATGCTGACTAGCCACAGTGTTACCCTTGAAAAACGAGCCCTTCATCGATTGGCCCTGCCTGCTCACATGTCTAAGAGGCAGTCCACAGGTGAGTGAAAGAAACACACACATTCGCAGTAGAGTCTAGTAAAACACAGCAAAATGTTGTTTATCAGAGTGGTCGACCAAGATGGCCTTTTTTGAGATGGTGGTTGACCAAGAAACTCTTTCTAAGTATGCTAGTTGAGAAGTCTAGTGGGATGCCATGCTGGTGAACAACATCCAAAACATATGCTGGTGTCCATCTATGCAGGGCACAAGAAACTGGTACTTCTGGGGAAAGTCTTGTTTGTACTTTGTACCTTTTTTTAATTCTTTGTACAGTCTGCCATTTAGATAATAGCTAAAACATGTAGGTACACAACAAATCATGTAACTGCCTCCAAACAGGGTTCACAATATCTGAGAACTCTAAAGCCACTTGAGACCAATATTAGAATTCTAAGCTAAAGTGCCACTAAAGTTGCACTTCATGGCCTAAAGGCAAAAATGGTTTTAGGTTGCCTTGAAAGGTAATATACATCATTGCACATTACCTGCAGCGGTGCTCGGCTCTTGGCAATAATGAGCTCTGCACACGTTTCTCTGAGAAGTGCGGTATAATTAGGCTTAGTCATAAATATCCCCTGTAATTCAGTGATAAAATGGCTGAGGCATCGAGCTAAACGTCCCTAAGGCCAGCCTGCTGCTCAGCTACAAAGAAAGGACCTGGAGCTTGTAAACAGTGGCGCTTTGTCTCATGTACTGCTACCTATCTAGGTGTGTGTACATGTATGAGAAGGGGCTGATGGGAGGTGTAGTCAACAGCTGGGTAATGAAGGGGCTTTTCATGTCGGGCGATAGCGGCGAAGCTTCTTGTGAGGCGGCAGATGTGGTGCGACTTGGGCAACAGCTGCGGTGAAACGATAACCGCGGCGGTGGAGAGATGTCAGAGCGCTGGCTTCTCTCCCTGTGCCTTATCATCACACACACACTGCATACACACCAGTCTGCAATGAAAATACAGAACAGCCACCCACCACACAAGATGCGGGAGCCGAATCGAAACCCTGAAATTCTTAAAGGAAAAAAAGAGGGAAAAATTATCAAAACAAAGTCTGGTTCTTTCCTATCACAGGCAGCAGAGAGCTGAGCCGTACTAATCCACAGCTATTTGAATATGCTTGGATGATAGTTGGCCAGTGCTTTAGCATCTTAGCATAGCTAACAGTGCTGTATGTGTGTTACGGGCTGACCATGCTTGCAGGGGAAATGAGGACAGAGGAATGTCCTGAACGTTGTTCCAGCATTAAATGTAAATCAATAATTTGTTCAACTTCACTGATATTCTGGAATGCAGTGCTGGTCAAATGCTCATGTGTTGTTTGAGGTGCATGTGGCTCACGAGACATGATGATCTGTAGAAGATGGATGGGTTCAAGCATGGCTGTTCCAAAACTTACTGGGCTTCAAGTCAATATTTTAGGACAACATAGGTGTCATATGTAAATCTCCCACCTCCTTCAAACAAAACTCATACATCTGATTCATAAAGTTGAGGTGCATTAAGTGCTGCAGTGCTGACTTCATTTTCTAAGCCAACCTGGAAGTTAGCATCACATGGTTCCCTTGACAAAAACCTATTAGATTTTCCATTTGCCTTTGGATTCATTTTACAAAAGATTTTGGATTAGCTGCTCTGTGATCAACAAAGTTGATGATGTTTTGTTATTTTGATCATCTGTGCAAATGAGCACAACATTTATGAATTTAGGACCCTAAATACAATCAGAAGAAGTAAGTAAGCAGCAGAAGTAAAGTAAAAAAAAAGATATATATATATATATACACACACACACACACACACACACACACACAATTAGGCTGTGAAAGCGGATGATGTGTTGAGAATGAAGGTGAGAATGTCCCTGAAAATCTCTGTAGTTCCATTTAGCCACTTATTAGCAAGACAAGACAAGTAAAAGCTTTAAAAAAAATCACAAGGGGTAATTACTGATGTATTTTATGCCATAGAATAAAACATGAAAATATCTTGAGCTTGTGTTAACCACACACCTTATTTCAGGCATTTACCCAAAAACCCATTCAAAATTAACTGACTTTGGTACAAAGGAGCTGGAAGTGCTAAAATGCTAACTAGTTTCTGGGTTTTGGCCTAAAAATGCATCATCTCCGCAGCACTCTATTAAAAAAAGAATAATGTTTAATTTATATAGCACCTTTCCAAAGCTTAATACTGCTTTCCAACAGTGACACAGGCGATCCAGACAATGCACAGTGGTAGGCAAGGACAAAATGATGATTTTCATAGACAAAAAAGTATTTGAATAATACAGTGGCCCTAATTGAGAGTGACTACATGCATCACTTAAGAATAACATTAAGAAAACAGGTTTTGAGTTGAATTCAGTGAATTTAAACGTGAGTATTCCCACCTGTCTTTAAATGTGATTTTGAATGCAGCAATTGGCATCATGTGATCCCATTTCAAGGCTCTTCCAAAAGGTTGGCCGAATAGTAATGCTGCCTTATAGGACCTTGTTTTGGACATGGCATTGACATTGGATGGCATGACATGTCTTGATGTGTCCTTTGGTTAAATTCTATTTAACCAAATGTGGTAATCATTCATGGTACATAAGCAAGTACCTCACCATTTGACACCATCACTGTTCCAGCATACCACTACTGTGATTTCTAGTAAGGGGTCTCAGCATGTCTCTATATGTGTGAGTACGAGAATGTAAAATGGGAAAGGACAGGAGAAGAGAGGGAGAGATGGAGACAAAACAAGTAAGAGAAACAGTTAGACAGAAAGGCAGAAAGCAGTTATTCTTCTTATTTCCTCTGCACCAGCTTTGTGGTCTCGATGGGGAACAGATGTTCACAACTTGATACTGTGCATCAAGCCTCTCTTCTTGCAATCTCTAGTCCCAGCACTGCCAACTGCCTGAATGCACAAACCCAAAGTCAGGGTTTAACTATCAACACACGCACCTGCGAGGGCACATCCATGCACAGATGTGCGCAAGCAAATGAAAACTCAACAATTTCCACAATTCACATCACACCAGTGGAGATGTGAAAGAAAGAAAATTCACAAATGAGATCACTGCCTGAATTGGATGTCAATTGTTTATCCTAAACAGCAATGCAATTGAATGGAGAGGAAATTGAGACTTTTGCTTTTCCTACTTCTCAGATTTTTCTCTCGAGCAAAAGACCCCCGCAAACAGAACAAAAATAAAATAATAAGTCAGAGATTTGAATAAGAATTCTCACAGATTACTTTTAAATCATTATTCTCACTGCCTCATATCTGGTTATATCTGTACTGTATGTATCATGTATTGTGCACAGTGAGACTTGATTTTATGTTGACTGAGAGAACTCAACTAAAGGCTCTATTAAGTTTCTGTACATGAGTTACAATAAGATCACTGACCTTAATCTGCATTTGTGGGAGTCACTCACTGCCAAAATGACAGATACAAATTGACATTTTAAGCTATTAACTGTGAGCCAAAGAGTGTACAGTAGTGGGGGAAAGAAATTACAGTCACTGCCTTTTTTAAATACAAATGTTACAATCAACCTCCAAATTTTGAGTCATGGTTACTTATCCTTGCCTCCCTATTTTCAACAAAAGTTAAAGGGATATTCCACCCGAAAATGAAAATGCTGTCATTATACTCATCCTTATGTTGTTCCAAAAACATATAAAATGAGCAACTACTCATTTACTCATCCTTATGTTGTTCCAATATACAACTTTCTTCTGTGAAACATAAAAGAGTATATTTTGAGAAATGTCTAAGTACTTTTTTATCATACAATGGAAGTCAATGGGCTCCAATGTTGTTTGGTTCACAAACACCTTCAAAGTGTCTTCTTTGAAGAATATATCCTTTTAAAGAGTTTGGACATCATTTTTAAATAGTTATCTTTTCACGTTTTTCACAGTAATTGGTTGACCTGGTAATAGGGTGAGAACGTTCTGCACAAAACATTTCATCATCAAATGTATAACGCAACAGATTTGTGTAATTCTGTTCATTATCTCTCACTCTTTCTTTCTCTCACTTCCAGTCCTGTCTCATGTCCTCTCTTTATCAGCATCACCCTGTTGAGAAACGACAAGCTCTTCAGTCTCATACATACATTTCATCATTGCATCTTCTTTTAATCTCTGCGATTCAGAACATTGATAGCAATGAAGAAAGATGCTGGCGACACATCTGCTTCCGCAGTGTGCCTTGCTCAGTGTAAAAGTGGATGACTCCATTCCTCGTTGCACTGCCTCTGGCCACCTTCTCATTAGATAAAGTCCCTCTCTGAGCGGCTGTGCTTAAAATAACTTTCATTTACTGCAGTCTGTAAGGGTGACTCAACAGGGCCGCTGAATGCCGGAGCTTCAGTGGGAGAGGACAAAGGGAGAGGACAAAAGAGCTGTGTTTCTCTGGCAGCACCCCTTCTTATCTCTTTCCAGCACTCTGGATGGCGACTGCAGCCACAGGAAAGGATTTATAATGTGCAAGTGAAAAAATGTAAAAAAAAAATCTCCCCCTTGCAAACCCTTACCCGTGCTTTCTCTTTCTTTTTTGCTCTATTTCTGCCTCCGTAGAGACCGTCATTTCCATACGGACACAATAAGCCCAATCAGACGTGAGCATCTCTGCCACCCCATCAGATGCAGAGAGAAAGAAAGACAGACAAGGACATTCTTAATGCCACTAGGTGAAGGTCAATGTATGAAGGGTGGTGTAGGTATAGAGATAGTGGCTCATAATGGAGAGGTTTGAAACTGTCCTCAAAGTGATCACTGGGAAGAGTGTAGAGAGCAGTGCTGTAGTCACATCAACAAAGACCTAAATGACGCTAGGAAGGAGGACCTGTCAGGCGCTGACATTGACGGGCTATCTACGAGCGTACCCCCATGAGAGCATTGCACTGTCAATCAAACTGCTGTCAAGACGATAAGAACCCCATGCTGCACCTTTTGCTCCAGTCACTGTTACACGCTAAGGCCAGAAACAAACCCTATGTAAC